TTTTCTAGAAGAAATGTATTTTGTAACAAGTTTACTTTTCTTACATATTGTCCAGATAAACTGCCTCTGTCTAGTGTGCTTTCTTTTTCAGTTATGCTCATCTCTACTGCAGAAAACATAGCTGTTTTCTGTGTTTGTATTTTGAGTTTAGCTATAGGTCCTTTTCACCATTAGTAACATGGAGCAAGTCCTGTTGGAAAGTAAAATCCGTAAAATCCATGATATGTCCCAGGTGAGTTTATGTTGATTCCAGTCTGGGGATATCTGAATGCTACAAGTCTCTACTTCTCCAGTCTACATTTAAATTGATACTGGTGCATTAAATTCAAGGTCCCAATTATCACATAATTACCTAAACCAATAGTACATCAAATGATCTCTTCTTGTTATAACTTCTCCAGGCTCCTGGAAATCACTGATTAATATAACGAATGTGTTGTTTAGCTCCTCCCCTCTTCATCCAGGTCTGCATTGGTGAAACATCACTTAACCCATTTTCAACTTGTTCATTAGGAGCACCCACAAAAGGAGTTTGTAAGTAACCCCCTGTGCAGCGCTCACAGACCTTGTGCAGATGAGCTGTTAGGCTCTGATCTTTGGAATTATTTAATCTCTTTTTCTTTGACCACTTCTCAATATTCTCTTCAGAACACTGTCAAAGGTGTTTTAAATTACTGTTTTCTTTCTTTGTGAGCAATGTGCCTGAAAAGCTCTAATGGATTAGGGAGGTAAGTTTTTCTTTGGCAGGTAGACACTGTCTTTATTCTATTATGATTCTCATTTATTTATTTTTGTTTCACAATACCCCTGATATTAAGGAAAGAAATTGGTGTTCAATTCCCAGGATTATCTGTAGCTCTCTTATTAAAGATAGTCACTGGTGATCAGGCACAGTAGTTCATTTTAATGAGCCTGAATTTTAGGGGTTTTAGCAATACAACCATTTCATTCTTAAGTTCCTCTGAAAGTCCTCGAAATACACTCTCTTATTTTAATAACTAGTGGTTCTCTAATTCTTTCCTTCTGTTCCAATATGTCCTCTGCTGCTCTTGCAGCCTCTGACAGTACCTCGTCTTTATTTCCAGAAAAGAGAAGATGTGTCACCCAACATCCTCCGTGGTGCAGACAACGGCAAAGAAATAATTTAAGTTTTCTGCAATGTCTGTGTATTCCTTAATTGCTCTCATTAATCCCTGGTAGTCCAACAGACACACAATTTTTTTCAAGGACTTTTTGGGCAATCTATCAAATCACACTCAGCTGTCGCTTTAGGTAAGATACACATTATGATTTGACATATGTCCTCACATTTTTCATAAGTAACTCACTGCAATCTAGGTAAATCATTTTGCACAGACAGTCTATATGTGATACTTAACTTGGATTGAAGGCAGAGCAGACCCAGTCGTCTCTCCTCACAAATACCTCTGGATTTTCCTGCTATTGGTAATCCCTAATATTTTTCAGTTGGTGATTTCAAGGCTTTTTGGGCAGACTTTATTACTTCCAATTTTACAGGTAGGAAAATGAGTGATATGAAGAGAACTCTGGTGTTCCTATGGCTGTTGATGCTGCTGGTGGACCTCTCACCACCTCCCCCAGACCGACAGCAGCACCTGATCTCCTCCAGCCTTGGGTCCCAGCCACACTTCCATAAATTGCAAACATAATCTGACAACATGGCCATGTACTTCTCAAAGATAACTATTTTGGCAAAATGAAAACAAGTTTACATTGTTTCTTAGTAAGTGATAAAATATTTTTTATCACTAGACTATTGTTAAGTGTTTTTAGGCAGCACAGGAAAAATGGAAAAGAAAGACTGTGCTCTAACTGTGTAGTCATAAATTACACGAAGTACATTTCATTATAAAGTACTACATTTTTTCTAGTCCTTTATGAATTCTCTCCGTTTACCCTGAGGGGTTGTAATGTAAACTGACATCTTATTCTCTACTCAAAAAAATCACCAGTATTCTCTTAAAATGTTTTGCCTAGGAATACGAACAAACAAATAAAAGCAACAGAACACACAAGAAAAAGAAGTATCTTTTTTTTTTTTTTTTAACAAAAAAAAGAAGGGAAACTATAACATCTGTATGGCAGTGACTGGAAAAGTTCAAGCATCATATGTACAGAAGTAATGACAACCATACACCTATCTCCTTATTTCTATGAAAAGGAGTATTTAGATATTATTGCTGAGATATAACTCCCTTAAACAATGAGGGATATGCTATAAGCATTAAATACTTGCCATTCATATATGATTTGCATTATTATTATTATGATTTATACTGTCTGAGAAGGAAATAACACTCTCGTTTTCCTTAGCTCCAATAATTGTGAAGAATTTTCATATATTCTTCCTATTTCTATCAGTTAAACAGCTTGAAGCAAGTTTTTTCTACTCCTAGTTTTGAATAACACAGAATACTGGCTTTGTACCCTTGGGCTACTTGGATTTAATATCAAATTCTTACCTTGCACAAGGTCAGAAAAAAAAATAAATCTTATAAAATTGGACTCATATGAAGAATGAGTTTCTATCTTTTAATACCACCAAACAATCTGCAAATTATTTAAATTAAGACAACCAGCACTCCAACATCTGCAAGCAAAATGCTTAAATGCCAAATGCAACTTTACTGGCATAAGAAAATAATAAGTGGAGTTCAATTTGTGTCAGCATAGCTCAGGAAAATAAGATATCATGTCTTGCTGTCTGCTTGATGTCAGCTTCTCAGATTCAAACCCTAATGCCTCATCTTAGGCTGTCCTTACTGGAGGCTGCCAAATAGCAAGGTTCAGCCAGAGTTCATGCAGCTACTACAAAATAGCTTTTTTTTTTCCTTCTCCTTTTTCAATCATTATGAACCTTCTGCTTTATATTGTACACACTTGATTATATCTATCCTTGAAATGTATACAACTCTATTAGCCTCTTCTCCTATTCTTTTAACATACTGTAAATTCCTTTCTGTGCTTAGTTTGTTTTATGACTTACAGAATTAGGCTTTTAAACTTTCACTGCACAGAGAAGATTGAGTTGTGCGATTTGCTACAAGGAGAAAACAAAGGAATGGGAATTTATACTAATATAAAAAAGAAACAAAACTATGAATGCTTTTACTCCTTTGTAGACTCTTATCAGTTTTCTGCTAAAATCTTAGTCACCACCATAACCAGGTTCCAAAATAGCTGGAAGGGGTTCTGCCTAGAAAGGAAACATTAGCAGCTCTCTAAAATGCCCATTCTTGTTCATTCTAAGAAGCCTAAATCTCCTCCTGCCTAAAATCTCATCTCGCATTGATATTGATATTTCAAATGAGACATCATGCAAGCTTAAAATGAGCGATTTAAGTGGATTCATTTTCTCAAATTGTTTTAAATTGGCTGCATATAAAATTACTCTAAATGGAAGTTGTGGGACAGATAAGCCGATAATTTTATAATAATATATATAGTTTAGTACTGTCAAAGTTTGTAGTCATACAATACCATTTTAGAGAACTCAGCAAAGCCTGTTGGAATCTGCTTCCAGTGTTAAAAAAAAACCAACACAGCACATGTGGGTTGGAGCATTAAAGTCATGATATACCAACACATATATTTTGAAGATAACACGATCCTTCCGCAAAAGAGGGATTGAAATTTTCTGAACATTTCAATTGTAATAAATATGCAGACACACAGATACCTCTATACACATGAGGAAACACGTATGGAGTGCAAGGAATTTAAGTTTATCCCAGTGCTGCAAACAGTACAGTTTCAATAATTTAAAATTAATTGATGAGAAGTAAGAAAAGCAACTGCCTTAATATTTCCTGAAATATGAGGAAGATTTAAAAAAAAAAAAAAAATTTGGCTTTTCTTCCCTTTCTGACTTGCTGTCCTAGTTTAAGGGAAACAAGTTTCTTCACTTAGGCTCATTCATTGCAATCTTATCTGGTATGAATTACTGAAACAGATTTGCAATATTCAGTGCCTGAACAGATGAAACACTTTAATACCTTAGATGGCTCATTTCTGGAATCAGCTGGAGGGGTATACTCCCCAAACTTTAAAAATATTTTTTACAAAATTCAAAGGCACACAAGATTAAAATTCCCAAATGTGTATTCTGGATCACCTCCAAAAACATTCAGTCATTATTGGATATTGTCTTGATTAAAATTCCTGCTGGTTTGTTCTATGGTTAAGGAGTAATCTTGTATCTTAGCTTTTGGAATGTATTCCTATCATGTGACATCTGTGAAGTCCGAATTAATATAAAGAGATCTTTCTCACTACCCAGCATGGGAAAAGGTTTAAAATCTTCAGATTTCAGCATAAAAGCAGTGCATAGAATGGGTTCTCCACTAATATTAACATGTAGATAGATCAAAATTTCCTTCAGGAATAGGGAAAAGTTAATTTCTAAAGCAGTATCACTGAGAATAATGTGTGTACTAGGCAATAATTAAAGCAAGAATTATTTATTGTCTCCTTTGTAGTTACCCTTTCCACAGAACCCTCCTTTTTTATAGTGAAGCTAGAGCCATTCCTGACTTAGCACAACTGAATCACTACATTCAGGGACTCCAAAGCTACAACACTGAGCAAGCTGTGATTTTCCTACTCTATAAAGCCATGTGAGATTACCTTTCCAGTCTTCATCTACCTTGGGACAAAAAGCAGGAAAGTTTTCCCCATCACTGTCAGATTACATGACCAAGCCCCAGGATACTACTGTACATAGGCCACTTGTAGGAAGAAAAGGCAGATCAGACATCTTGATCAGTTATTCTCACACCTAAAACTCTGTTTTTAAGTGCTATTCAACTACTGAGGCACTATTTAATGATTTTGAGATGTTTCCTCAAGGTCCTCCTCCTTTAGCTAGTTGAGGAGGAATATTCACCCTAAGCCTCCGATATTTCATAAAGTACTGCAGGAAAATTTGTTTTCAGATCTCCTAGAAACAGTAAAAGTAGAAATTCCATTTTGTATTTTATGAAGTTGTCCACAACAAAGTTTCATCAACACTCACTATGACAAGCTAGCATTCTATTTTGAAATCAGTGTTTTCCTCCTCAAAGCCTTTAATTTATATTTCCCCAACCAGATCTCCAGGTAAAAATTACATCTACTTTAGAATTGTTTCCACACAGAAATTTGAAAAAAAAATGTTGTAGGACAAGAAAGGGAAACCCCCCCCCCCATTTTCCAGTGTCCCCAACGAAAAGTTTTAGATACATAGACAGCTGAAAATAATTGACTTGTATAAAAAGTTACCTAAAAACTGCAACAGTCACACCAGAAGGAATATGAACTAGAATTAGTCTCTGAATTTGTCTATAGAAAATTTGACTTAATCCACAACACAAAAAATACCCTGCTGAGAAGTTCTTATACTATATATTATTTTTCTACAGAAGGACATAAACCAACACCAATGTATTCTTGCACAATGCTTCCAGTTGCTCAGATTTTTGGGAAACCACCTTGTGCACCCAATATTGTGTCTACAGGTAACTTTTGGTATC